TATATATATATATATGTATATATATATATTCCCACCATTTTCGTCTATATTTTCATTTTGCTCGACTTTGATGTGTAAAGAACAAACTTTTCTAGTTGTATAATTAAACGAGAAAATTAGACAAAATTATTTATTCAGTCAAAATTTCTTATTCAAATTAACTACAATATTATTATTTGTTATAAAATTAGTCATTCTATCCTATTTCTTATTTTGATGCTCTCGTCTATCACTAAACACCATAAAATTTCACTAGTTTTTACTCACCATATGTGTATCTGATATAGTTTATATTATGTAATGTAATAAAACATACCCCAACACCAACCAACATGAAGAAAAAAAACAATGCTTGAAAGAGAAAATGTGATATCATGAAATAACAAACAACATGAGTGTGATTGCAGTAAATGCCCATCCACTATGGGTGAGTTGTTTTTGAAGAAAAATAAATAAATTTAGATTTTAAAAAAAATAGTCTTTATAAAATTTAATTCAAATCAAACTCATTTTATAAAGTTTCACAAAATATCAAAGTATACCATATATCATTGGACTTAATTATCTTTTGATTAGTACTGTATTTGTTGGTTAAAGATTTGGGCACGTACGTGCCACTTATATATTAGGCAGGGTACGTCCAGAAATGATTGTACCATTCCACATGGTAATAATTGAAACTTTCTTTTTTCTTCGATAAATTGACAGAGGGGTGCTAATAATATGCTTTTGATGTTTAAGGGATTGAAAAGCTAGAAAGTAAGTGCAATAACTGCATAGAGAATGTAAATTATGGGTTACTTTTGAAGAAAGAAAAACAAGGAAAGAGATGGATAATAATAAATATATTTGGATTACTCCAAGTATTAATAAATTAACTTGGATTTTTTGGTTGATGAAATCGAAATTAAAGTAGTTCATTCATTCATTTATTTATAAACATTAGTTGATGCATTTTATATGCATCATGATTACACACATAGCATTTTAATAATAATAGCCCCAAAAGTAAATATTCTAGACAAGAGCTGCATTGAGCAAGAAGCTTCGAATGCCTCCATCTCGTTTTGCGGTTGAGATTGGTGCACCGCTACATTGACTTTGACAAAAAATTGGGTCACAAAAGCCTGGGCCGATTCCACACCAACCAGCGTTACCACAACATTGTCCAGTAGGACATGATTTACCATCAGCTTGCCATCCGCATCGTCCCTCTGGATATGGACCTGGACATTGCATCTGACAATATCCAGGAAAACAATACTCGTATGTGTTTCCACACATACCCGATATACCACAACACTCTCCGGTTCTATTACATTTCGTGCCACCATTTTGCATTCCACATTGGTATTGTGAAGGTGGAGGTGAAGGTGGGGGTGGAGACGGAGGTGGTGTGAATGGGCATTGGCTTTGACATAGTCCGCTAGCACAATAATCCGTTGTGGTCCCACACCAACCATCAACACTACAACATTGTCCACGAGGACATAATCTGCCATCAGCTTGCCATCCGCATCGTCCATTTGGGAAGGGAGGGGCCTGAACATTGACTCTGACAAATTTCAGGTTTACAAAAGTCTGATCCAGTTCCACACCAACCCAATAGACTACAACACTGTCCACTAGGACATTTTGTACCACCACCTTGCATCCCACAACTTCCATGTGGGGAGGGGCCAGTACATTGATTCTGACAAAATCCAGAACCACAATATTCTGATGTTGTTCCACACCAACCCCATATACTACAACACATCCCACTAGGACATTTTGAGCGATGATTAGCTTGCATTCCACATTCATCTCCATTCGCGAACACGCCGCCTGATGCATTCTTATTAATACCTTCAAGTACAAAGGTTCCATTAATTATCTCATTCGCTGAGACCACCTCAAGGAGGAACAAACTCAGTAGACCTAAAACGCTAATTGCAGTCTCTTTCATTTTGTTATAAACGTACGATTGATGAAGATGAATTAATTGCTGAAATCCTCATCAAGGCTTTATAGCTAAATAATTATAACTTTGCGACTAATAAATATAGGAAAAATGCACAAGTATCCCCTCAACTTATGTCCGAAATTCCAGAGACACACTTATACTATAGTAAGGTCCTATTACCCCTGCACTTATTTTATAAGTAATTTTCTACCCCTTTTAGGCCTACGTACCACTAGTTTGAAAGAAAAAGTCAACTAGTATTGGACCCACAAGATAGTGCCACGTAAATCGAAAAGGGGTAAAATATTATTAATAAAATAAGTTCAGGGAGTAATAAGACCTTTATATAGTATAAGTGTGTCTCTGAGATTTTGGGCATAAGTTGAGGGGGTACTTGTGCATTATCCCATAAATATATAAAGAGTTTGTTATAGCGTGAACACTTCTTTAACGGGGCATAAAAAATAAAAAATGAACACAAATGTAGGTAATCTGTCAAATTCGCCCGCAATTTTAAGGGTTGGATTCAAGATAATTTAATTTGAGTTCAATCTCAACCCATTCAAACCTAATTTATTTGAAGAAAATCCTCAATTGATCATAATTTAATCTCCAATCAATCCGTTTTAAAACACTTTACTAAGATATGTTCCTATAGTAAACGTATGAATTATTATCTATTTAACATATTTAGAATTTATTTATTTATTTATTACTTTAAAAAAAATTGAACGGAAATTCAAATTGTGATTATATAAGTTAAATATCAGTATGTTAAAAATTATTGAGATTAATCGGGACAAATTGGACGGGTTAAGATCCAACCTTTTTTTAGCCCATTTGAGCCCAAAGTAAACTTGTGTGCGTCAAGACCCAACTCGATTTCTATGTCAACCCATTTTAATATCTCTCATTTCAACTCAACTCGTCCATTTGACACTCCTAACTATTTTAATATCTTTCATTTTTATCCAACCCGCCCATTTGACTCCCCTAACTGTGATTCCAAGGAGGTGATTAGTTAAGTCGATCCATCCTCATGGCACCCAGCTTCAAAGGTCACTACAACAAAAACAACTTTTAGCGGCATTAAATATCGACACTAATAAAGGGTGCTAAAGTCTTTACCGGCATTAATAAAGTGTCATTAGAACCAGTGTCGCTAAAGGTTTTAGGGACATATACAAAGAGTGACAATTGCCGCTAAAAATACATATTTAGCGACAATTAAGAATTAAATACTGCTAATAATCATTTTTGTTGTAGTGGGTGAGCGTAACTGGGTAATCATATATAATCAAATACAAAATTATATAAAAAAGTGATTTTGAATATATTACATATATACTTTCTTCCTTAAATTTTACTTGTCACATTTAAATTTGTTCCATCCATTAAAAATGATGATTTACATAAATATTTTTTCACATTATTCAGATTAATTGACGTTTAGTATTAGGTCTAAAGAAATAATTCTCAAAATAAGTAATTAGTGATGAAGGGTAAAACATGAGAAAAAATAATTTTTTTTCTTAAACACATAAAAATAATAAATAAAAGTGAAAATATATTTTTAAAATAATAAAAATAAAGAAGGGTAGTATTTTGTCATCTTTTGGGTTGATGTTCATTTGATTCTATTGCTAACATTACAACTGAGTGAAGAAATTGACCACCGTTGTTTAAACATATAATAATTTCAGCTAAGATAATATATTCTCACTATTATATTGATTGTATCCTAATTTGTTTTTTTTTAAAAAAAAATCAGAGTACTGATATTAGGGGTATTTTAGGTCAAATTATTAACTATGGATATTTTTATTCAATTTCGCAGAGTGTAAGAAGATTTTTTACTTTTTCGAATATAATTAATAAGACAATAATTTTTTTTAAAATGAGGGGAAATGACGCAAAGTTAACAGATATATGGCCTAGCATGAAATTTTCCCAAATGTAAACCATCATGTGTGAATCCATTTTTTTTTAAAAAAAGGCTTAAAGTTGTTTACACAATTTACTTAGACATTTAAATTATAATTATTACCTATTAAACATTTGAATTGTTTAAAAAGTATGATATTTTACACAAAATATTGAGATGGCAAAAAAAGTGTTTTACGCTTTTTCTGAGCGCGTGAAATTTTATAAATAATATTTTATTTTTATTTTTTCCAAAAAAACTTAATACTTTTGCTTCTTTGAGTGTCACATGGCATTTAAATAATTTAATTTTAAAAAATACATATTTAAAAGTAATACTAATTCTTAAAAAAAAAACAGAAAAAACCCATCCAATCCCTGTAACTCGTCTTCTCCGTGAAGAACAGTGCATCCATTTTTTTCTTACTGTTTTCTATTCTATTTCTTTTTTATATTTATTAAAAAATAAAAAATGAACCTGCAAATTAAATTTGGAGGAAAAAACGAAGAAAGAACATTGGATTGAAATGACATAAATTTATTTTTCTATAATTGTTAGGCCTAACATCACATGTTATTTTTTAATTAGTCACTTTGTCAGTATTACACATTTTTTTTTATTGTCAAAAAATTTCTAATAAAAATAAATTTGAAATAAATAAAAGTGTTTAATAGGTAATAATCCTAGTTAAAATGTATAAATGATTTATGAAAGACAATTTTAAGGAACAGCATGTATGACATAAGCATAATAACAAAAATAAGAGAAAGAAGAACAATATCAAGCTACACATCTCTTTACTTTTGTTTGATAATGACTCATCTTAGAGAAACATAAACAAAATTTTAAAAAAAAAAATAGTATCTTTGAGAAAATGGAGAGTTTTTTTTATATTACCAAGTGAAGAAATTGACCATGTTATTTTTATATATAATAGGGACACTATATGATAATTTGTCATAAGACAATATTGTGTCACCATTACATCGATTATATCGTAGATGTCTTGCTTTTTCGGATTAAAATATTAATTTTAGGAGATTTTTTGAACTCAATTATTAGTTAAGAATATTTTATTTGATATCACATATTTTAAAAAATATTTTGATCCTTTTACATTAACATAATATGAAAATACGTGAAACAAATATATCAGTGTAAATGAAAGAAATATGACATAGCATGCAATGTGAACCATCATGTGCTACCGCGAAGATTTTTTTTTGTAAAGAAAATATTTTTTTTCTACTGTATTTTAATTAATGTAATTTTTTTTTAAAATTATGGAATCTATTTTGGTTATGACTTTTAGTTTGAAATTCATATTCTTTATTTAGTTATTGTTTTATTATTTTAAATGTAGGTAATATTTGTTTGTATCTTATGACTATTTTGAGTAAAAGGTAATGGTCGATGACAAAAAATATTTTAACTTAGGCATATAAATGAATCTCTTCGCAATAAATTTGCACAAACAATAAGTAATTAACCACTTAAATATCTAAAAGTCAACTTTCTAAATTCTACCTATATCACATAAATTAAAATAAAAAATATTAAATACGTGCGATCACAAACACCTGTATGTAGTATAATATAAATTACGCTTCTTTTCTACTTTTGTTGAATTATGACTCGTATTAGAAAAAACAACAAACAAAAAATAATGATACCTTTCAGAAAAAAGACTTCTTTTATTATTTTTGTTGGATTATGACTCGTATTAGAAAAAATAAGAAACAAAAATAGTAACATCTTTCAGAAAAAGAATTTCCTTATTAGCAAGAAAGGAAATTGATCATCATATAATAATGTCAGTCATAAGATAAATATTATGTCACCATTATATTAGTTGTACTCCTGATTTCTTGCTTATAGAACGTAATATCACATAGCACGTAATATTTCTATGTTTGGTTTCAAAAAGGGAAGTGAAGGTGCCATATAAGTTTTTTTTTCTTCCAATAACCCATCTTTTACAATTATATATTTTTAAAAAATTATGTGAAACATATGAGAGAAGTAATAATTTAGAGTAACTTTCTCTCGTCTACTAATTATATTGATTTCTTTAAAAATGGCTCTAATTCTAGGATTAGATAAATAAATAATAAAATAATAAATCGCTTTTGGTAGATATTAATTTGATTTTTCTAGTTGTAATACTCCTTTCATTTCAAAATAAGTAAATTATTGAAGCAATGTATATCTGTTACGAAAATAGTTTACGACATAAATTGAACTTTAATTTTCACTTTTGTCCTTTTAATTATTTTCAAATTATTCTTAAAAATATAAATAATTTAAAGTAATCTCGTAAATATGAACAATGAACTTTCTTAAAATTATCAACAAAAAAATATAAATGTAAGGCAAAATTGAACAAATTTATAACAATTCTCTTAAATTTTAAATAATTTAGGGTGCTTATTTTGAACTATAGAAAAAAAAATTTAACAATTCAGTTATTTTAAAATTGAGGAAGCCTACTTTATTTGGAGTTTAGCTCCTGTTTTTTCCATTGAAATTATCCTTTCTATATATAAAACATTGAGTTGTTTTTTCCTTTTGTTGTTATATTGCGTCTAATGGGAGAATTAGCATATGGGAGAGTCGTCAGGGATAAGTAATCCTCCTTTCAGTTTATAAATTTAGAGTAAACTACAAAAATTTCATTAATTTAGATCTTAATTACTAAGGTTTACGATAATTTTAAATATTATGATATATGTATGCAACGAGTTTAATAAGCGACAGGTATATTAAATTCATTTTAGAATAGTAATAATTGATTTCCTTAATTAAAGGAATAATTGACGACTCTAACAAATTTTTTGCATCCCATCATATCAACTATACCAGTTTTTTAAAAAATACTAACTTCATAAAATTAAAAATATTGTATAGTGTCACGATAAAAAATGAGTCATGATCGGCACCCACACTTAACTTTCTAGGTGGGCGAATCAAGAAATTCAATCTCAATATATACCAATAATTCAACTATAAATAACAAAATAATGCGGAAGCTCCAAAACTTATTAACTATCATTTCTCAAAACCTGAAGTCATCACAACAAGAACATTTAATCTCCATTTACTAAGTCTAAGAGTATCAAAGACACCACAATAAATAAAATA